CAGGAGGTGTGGGTCCCTTAGCCCGGCCTGTGCCCTCTCAAAGTGTGGGAGCCCTTGGGAGACGTCCTACTGAGCAGGCCAAAGCCGTCAGTGGGACATCCTTAGCGTTGCAACGGAGGTGGGAGAGGCTCCCACCACTGCTGCTGCACTCGCTGTGAGCCCAGCTTCTGGCTGAGTGGCGCTCCCCCTGTGGGAGTGTACTGACCACCAGGGGGAAGCTCCTGTGCTAAGTGTCTACCCCCTGTTGGTCAGTACATGTCATAGTGATCAGTCGTTCTGCCATTTGGTCAATTTGCATATTAACCTTTTATTATATAGGATATTCATCAAACCAGGTAATTTAAAAAATAAATATGATTTATTTATATAAAATATTCTATATAAAATATTTAGCTATCTAAAAATAGTTAATATTACACATTTTTATCAATATTGAAGAACTCTAGGAATTTTAACAGTCTACATAAAGCAAGCTGGATTTTTCTTTTTAACATCAATGGAAGATAACCACACATGGAAAATAATCTCCCAATGCCTCAAACGAATCGAGTCACAAATCTTATCCAATAACTCAGTTCAACATTCATTTACATGTTTTAGAAGCTTTTAGTTATAAATAACTAATAAATCTGGTTCTCCCATCATGATTAAAATATATGGATAACAGTTATTTAATTAAGTTCATATGTTGTTTTATATTAGTGGAATTCAAGTGAAACATTTAGTTTACAAAAGACATCTTTTATCCAATGAATTTGTGAAAAATTGCTAGAATCACTAAGAACTTACTAGACTTCAAAGCTAATTTCAAAATCAAGTTATAATTCACAGATCCAATTATAATGACAACCAAAATAGAACTGATCCAAGTTCTAAATGGCCACTCCTACTTTAACCCTATATTGATTGTCAAATGCTTACTAAGATTATTTGGTTAATAGACTAATGATGATTCAAAATGTTTTAAAAGAGTAAAAGTCTAGCCCTAGCCGACTTGGCTCAATGGATAAAGCTTTAGCCTGTGGACTGGGTCCTGGGTTCTATTCTGGTCAAGGGCACATGCCCAGGTTTTGGGCTCATTTCCCAGTAGGGGGTGTGCAGGAGGCAGCCGATCAATGATTCTCTCTCCTCATTGATGTTTCTATCTCTCCCTCTCCCTTCCTCTGTGAAATCAATAATAAATAAAAATAAAAGAGTAAAAGTCTTGCAAGAAAATCAAGGAATCTTTCTCATTATCTAAGGCAGTGGTCCCTCAAAGCATGGTTCCAAAACAGCAGGATAAGCATCACCAAGGAACTTCTTAGAAATGAGAATTATTAGCCCTCCACTCCAAACCTACCAAGAACACAAACTCTAGGCATGAGACTTAGCAATCTGTGTTTTAACAAGTCCTGCAGGTGATTCTGATGCATACTATAGTTCAAAAATCACTGGTCTAAAGGTTAGGGCGATTTTCATAACAAAGTCTAGAAACACAGAATATTTCAAAGGGAAAACTAGACATGGCTAGGTGCCAAAACATTTTGTCATTGCAGAAAGCAAGGCAGCTCCCGAGGAGTGCGAAGGTTGTGTCATAAGGATTCAGGAAGCAGCTTTATTGGGACAGGAAGAAAAATAAATGCAGTGGACTGAAACACTTTAAATATTCTTAAATCCGCAAGTTAATAATGACACTAAAACAATAAACTCACTCAATTACTTCAGGAGGATATGAGACAACCAAGTCATTATTAGGAAACTGGAAAATAAAGGATAGGGTCAAACATTCATCCTGCTTTTCCCATAGGCTGTTCCTTAGAATAACCAACCAATGGTGTTTTCTATAAACCAGTAGCTTTTAAAACAAGATTTTCCTTTATAGGAACACCCTATCTACCACATTAGGAAGGGATGATATAATTAGAAAATCAGGATTTTGCAATCTCTGATTAAGGGATCCATGCAAATGATTTTCCATGACAATGTCACAAAAAGACAGACAACCAGACATGTGCCTCCTGACTGACATATGTACATACTCCTTATGAATACTTACTAAAAACTCAATTTGAACCTGATTAGGCCTACAGTAAAACACATTAAAAAAACAAGTATAGGAGCTCACTTACTTTACATTTATAAATGTTAAAAATTTCATAAGTTAAAATAATAAATGAGGGCACATTAGAAACTGGAAAATGTTTTACTACAGTGCTATTTATTTATATTTTTACATACATTTTTTAAGATCAAACATTCATTTTTATTTACCTTTTTACTTAGTCTTTGATTTTCTTTTTCAATTTTCAGGATTTTGGAAGTGTTTCCTTCTGCAGAATCCATAGTACTTCGAAGTTCTTCTACAGTTTTTGTCAAGCTCTGGTTTTCCATCTCCAACTTCAGTAACCTACTTGATGTCAACTCACTCACCTCATGGCCCAAAGATTTCTGTGGTGCTATAATATTGGGAAAAAAAGGCATTGGTAAACCTATATTTATTCTTTACTATTTAAAATGTTGAGTGTATATGCAGTACATCACTTCGTCCTTTATAAAAAAATTTATAAAGTTATACAAGATAGACACAATGATAAAAACAGAGACAAAAGACAGGTAAATACTAAATTTTAATGCATCCTTAAGCATTCCATGGGGTGGGGGTGGAGGTGGGGGGGGTGCAGACACAAAATTTAGACCAAAGAGACTAGAGTTCCAGTTCTAGTGCCGTGAGAAATTAACAAACTGATAATATCAAGCCACTTTAACTTTAACTTCAATGAGTCTTAGGTTACTTGTACAAAAAGTTATGGTCCTGTGTATCTATAGTCATGTATGGTTCAAACAAGAAGTATAAAGTATATCCCATGCCACACTTTCAAAAATTAAAGAAAGACAGTTTAAGGAGAGGAAATCCTTATCTAATTTTGAAAAAGGCTAGACAGTATACACTGGTCACCTTGAAAGTCTTTCTCTAAGGAATCCCTATTACACTAAGTGCAAAGAGCAACATCAACTCCATTTTGTCAAGGAAAACCATCTTTCTAAGTAGATTACAACATTACATGTTTTAAAATAAGAAAACTCAGTTTCTAATTCTGTAAATGATACTATCCAGGAAGCCACAAAGAATTATGTTTTAATAATCTTATAGCAGACTCACTGAATATTTTGATGATATAAAAACATTAGGATTTACAAAGGAAATATGATGCCTAGAAGTTATTTTGAAATCCTAGATTTTAGGAAGTGCAAAGGGTAGAAGTATGGGAGGGCATTTCTAGGTCTGCCAACTTTTATGTATGTTTGAAATTCTCCATCATAGAAAAGCAAATAAATACACACACACATACACACCCTCACAAGCATACATTCTTTACAAAATTAGGTATGGTAAAATATCCCCCAGATTTTATTTTTTTATAGTTTTATTGATTCAGAGAGGAAGGGAGAGGGAAAGATAGAAACATCAATGATGAGAGCAAATAATTGATTGGCTGCCTCCTGCACGCCCCATACTGGAGATCAAGCCCACAACCAGTCATATGCCCTTGACTGAAATTGAAACCGGGACCTTTCAGTCCACAGGCCAACGCTTTATCCACTGAGTCAAACCAGGTAAGGTGTCCCCAGATTTTAAGGAAAGAATTCTTATTTCCAGCTTTTGTTGTAGTCACATACTGTTAATCTCTTATTAAAAGCTGGTATACTAGAAAGTCAATGACTTTTAAAATTCTATTAGTTGTCCACGTCTTCTCTAGTAAAACTCTAGTTAATGACTTGTAATTATGCATTTCAAATTAACAAGATTAGGCGAGGTCACAGCCACTGTTCTCAAAACTGCCCGGTAGTGGCACAAGAACAGACATATAGACCAATGGAACAGAACAGAGAACCCAGAGATCAAACCAAGCCAATATGCTCAATTAATATTTGACAAAGGAGGCAAGAGCATACAGTGGAATCAAGACAGTCTCTTGAATAAATGGTGTTGGGAAAATTGGACAGATACTTGTACATGCAAAAAAATGAAACTAGACCACCAATTTACACCACA